CCCCTCCCCCCCTCCCCTCCTCTCTCTCTCTCTCACTCTCTCTCTCTCTCTCTCTCATTTCCTCTCCCTCTCGCCGTATCGGACTTATTTCCCATATATTCGATATCGAATACGTGGCAGCGCCTGTATTCTTCGTGGTTCGCCGCCTTCCCGAATCTTCGATTTTTCAAGATGAGCGCGACCGATTCTTTCTCTTTCTCTCTCGTTAGTCGACGAACACGGCGCTATAATGTATGCGCGGTCACGTTTTTTGATCGATGCCACGTACCTTCGGCGCGCGTCTCCGGCCGCGGGGAAAACTCGCGAGAAGAACGACACGACATCTCGCGCGCCACATCTCGCTATTTGTTATGCCGACACGCGGTGCCGACGTCGATACGTTTCCTCGCCGAATGTGTTTCGGCATCTACATATCGGGCCTTATGCACTCGAATGACGCAGATTCACTTCAACATCTATAACAATCGCGTTAATGCCCGTGGCATTCCCCGTGTGAGCGAGTGCACACATTTAAAACATGTCGAGGTCGTGCCTTTCCGCTCAGGCGAGGATGAAATCTCGAATTTTTTCTTAAGTGGCCTCGGATAAACTCGACGTCTCGGAGACGCTCGCGGCATTCTCTATCGCAATTTATTATGTCTTTCTCAGAATCGTCATTCGCGCGGACCTGTGAAATATTGGATAAACTATACTGTTGTCATTGCCAACCTGGCCGGCGCGCACTTTTGGGGCTCGGGTCGTGGAGCGAGAGAGAAGGAGAACGAAAAAAGAGAGAAGCGAATAGGGGTATGGAATGAGTGGTGCCTATTCATTACAAATTATCTAAATGGCAGTGATTTCGGCGGACCGGCTGGCCGTTTGACGAGTAAGTGGCGGGTTCGCCGGTCCCAGTGACTGTCATTCCGTACCAGCCCTGAGCCAATTGACGATCGACGGGCGGCGGTCGACCGAATTGTTCGACAACCACTGCGAGACCCGGCCCATGACCGGCCCTAAAATTGGACTTATTACAACTTATAGAGCGCGATTTGAACGCTCCGCTCAATAACATACATTATCCCCAATCCATATGATTTAATGAAATCCCTCTAAACTCGCCACTTAGCTTTAGTACCTTCTCGCGCAGCGCCTCTTTTTGTATATGTGCCCTCGCGCAAACTGGTACGTATACCGCGCGCGAAGGGAGGAAGGGCGAGACTGAAAAAAACGGACGCGAAAGCGAGAGAGACGGGCGAGGAGAACACGTCCGGGGCACGTTCCGATCATTGTGGATACCTAAAACGCACGTTTCGCGATTTTATAGCCTGGACAATACGTGTTTACCAACCACTAATGCACGCAGCATCGGCATTCGGCGATCGATGAAGACGTTTCGAGGTCCTTGACGCGCGACGCTACGCATTCCCGTTTCCTCTTTGGAGAGAAAAGACAATGCGCGCACGTCCTTGTCCATTTGAAACGCATCCCTTCGCGTTTTATCTTTTTCCCTCGTAATAAGCGAATATCCTCTCGCGAAGGAATGGACATGCTACGCGCGATTATACCCATGATCGGCATCGCGTCACATTTGAAGAACGGACATCGGACTTTGAGAAGACATCGGGCAAAGGTCCGAAAGAAGGGGACCGCTTCGGGCGACTCAATCACCCTCCGGTCGATGGTCGCTGGGACCCTAAAGCCAAATGCGAAAGACGATAAAACACAATTTGAGCTAAAGACTGCACTCCTATAACCTCGCATGCCCCCGCGCAGACGATGAGCACTCCCCGCCACCTCCCCGGCCCTTTCCCTCCCGAAGCTGATGAGGTGACAACCCATAATTATACAGACCGCTTTCTGTCTGGGACTGACTGCGGTGGCATGCAGAGGAGAGGCCTCCATCATCCTCCTCCGTCCTCCTTCGCCTTCGCCTCCGTCTCGCCTCTCATCTCTTACCTCCCACCCCTATTTCCTTTTCTTCGTTCCTCTCCCTCCTCATCCGCGTCTCCTCCTTTCGCCGTTCTTCTCCATGTTCTCCTTCTTCTTCTGTTTCTTATTCTCGAGTTGGTCCAGGAGGTTCCGGGCCTCAACTGCCCTGACGCTTAATAGTGATACGTACGTTTTCTTCACGTGAGGAAGAGTCGAAGGTGGAGCGAGTCGAAGCGAAATGACGGAGGGGGAGGAGGCAGACTGACCGGAGTAGTCGCTTCCACCCGTGCCACGCCGTCCCGTGCCCGTAGGAGAAGAATAACTTCTGCTACTTCTTTCCTGGTGTTAATTACAAAACGCGAGAATAAATTGCCGGACTAAATGAGTGCCCGGTATCTCTCGTCGGTCTTGTCACGTCTCTTCTTCGTCCTACGATTCGCCGCCATGACGGTCGGATGAACGAAGCCTGAACCACACATGTATGCAATTCCAACGACCGGAATTTACAAAGTATCAAAAAATTAATTCCTTCTTGCAACAACAATTGCTACGGCAGTATTATATAAAATTGTATCACATAAAAAAATCTAGTGTTCGAAGATCGATATTAATATTAATTCGCAATTTATTATTCAACGGGATATAAATGTATCGAATGGAAACTGGAATTTGCATAACATTTTGCTGTAACAATAGAAACGTTTCAGAACAGTCAGTTTCGTATTTGATCTCCGAAAATATTCTCCCCTGAGGCTTGCGCGTCGCGGGATTTCGACTGCTCGTCGCTGCGGTTCTTTTCGTCTTCCAAGTGAAGGACCGCGTGCTTCTTTCGCTCGGCCAACTACCGGCGAACGGAGGGCCATGTGAAATTATTTGGAAAATATGCCCTTTGTGGCTGCCCTCTTCTCTCCGTCCTCAATGCACCCGCGGTCTCGCGACGCCATTGTTCTTATCAAGCGACGAAG